AAGTAGATCTTTTATCCCTTTAAAATTTACAGTTCTTTACAAGCACTATGTTTCTCCCATCTGTTTAATTTAGATTCAGCACCCTAAGTCTCTCATCATGTATCATTTCTTTTATTATAATTTCTATTCTAACTTTGAAATGCATGATGGACAAAATGAATATATTGTAAAGGAAACAGCATGTGAGATAGAGCTGGCTTTTAAAGCTGGATTTCCTCCTTCTCCTTTGCTTTCTTGCAAATAATTTTGTTATGTGATTTGTCTGGGCTTAGGGCTAAGGAATGAGGCTTCATTGGGCTTCTTCCTTGAATCTCTGGGGGGCACTAACACTGCTGCACCAACTCTCTTATCTTCTTCTCTTTCTAAGTCTCTCTTGGTGTAAAATGTTTTCTAGAGAAAGCCAGAAGTACCTGAGAGAAAATTGAAATCTAGTCTTGGTTTGACACTGAGTCAACTAGGAAATGCTGCTCAAAGGCTGTGTGACTGTTTCCCTATTTCCTTTATCTCAAAAAGGGTCCTAATTGTTGGATAGATTAGACAGATGGAGACACACCTGGAAGAAATGCACTCTACAAACAAAAAAATATTACTTCAGTTTTTCTCCTCCTACTGCTCCTTACACAAAACTGGCCTTCTTTTGCATCTTTTTGTTTCATTATAGAAACACAAAGATAAGCCAGAAGCTGGGAAAATGAATAAGGAAATAGAACAGAGTATTGAAAAGAGTAAAAATGAACGCGATGTTAGAAATAGTCACAAAAAAACAATGTTGCACAGAGAATATTACTGGGAGTACAGACATAGCCTAGGCCAGTTTCACCGAGTTTTTCTAATCTAGGAATATTTAAGAAATTTCTTTCCAAACTGTGAAAAATTCAGTGCAATTATTAACTTCATTCAAATATTTAGATAAATAGAAATTACATTATAGGCTGTTTTGCTGATTAGTAACTAGTAACTGGGGAAGGACTAAAGCTACTTTGATGTCTATGTAACAATGACAAAGACAGCATTTCTGTGATTCAGTGTTAAGCAATAAAGAAGAATTCCACTAGTAAATCGACATTTACACCAATGTGTTGGGTATATAATTATTAGCACTGTAAAAACTGTAAGAATACAGTATTCAGTTGTGGTTGAAATTGCTGGCTCTAGAGTCAGACAGATGTTGATTGGAAATGTTAGACAGGACAATGGTCTCATGGTCTGGGCCATTCTTACTAAATGCTCTTCTTGCTAAATGTTAAAATGTAGCACTGTGTTTTGTAGACCAGCTGCAAACAGGATGAACTTGACAGGAACCAACATGATAAGTGCAGCCAAGTGCAAAGAACAAATCAACAGATAATTGTCCAGTTTACAGCTGAGTACCCCAAGTGACAACCCCTTGAGTTCTGTTACAAAAACATCTATATAACCACATTTTGTCAGTTTGTTTACTTTTTTCTGTCTCATTTTCTAATCTGCAAAAGTGGGTTGATAATAAAACCTAACTCATAAAGATAAAACTTGAGTTCCTGTTTGACTTATGCCTATGGGCTTCTAGGGTGAGGCATACTCTCCTTTGCTATAAAATATCATTTCCATGAAAATTAAAACACACAGTTCTAAGGTCTCTTCCAGTTTAAAGATATTAAGATGCCAACTTAATGCCATGACTCATGGCGAGCATTTGATATAAAAGGGAAGGGGCACCAAATTCTGACAAGCTGACAATGATCAGCTTGTATAGCTGCAACTCTGGGACGTTCATCAAATGGCATATAAGAAGATTGACCACTACTCCAGTTCTCATGGGCTGATAGTGGAAAAAGAGAATAAGCACTGTTAAGAGAGTCACTTTAAACAGAGTCAGGAGGCTATTAAAGAAGTGAGGCTAATCAATATCTTGAGTCCTGGTTTTCTTGACTGCTATTAAGTTGCTATACCTGTTGCTATACTTTCAGCTCAAGGCTGAAGTCATAAATATTCTAGAAAAACAATTGCTCTATGGACACATACTGGACTTTACCTCCTCCTTGTAACATTCATCCCCCTTGTTCCGATATTGGAATTAATCAATTACTGTTAACCTAGTCAGGAATCCTTCACTTGCATAAGACTTATATTTTTTATCTCCAGGGCACAATTTGAGTTACCTGAATCTGTGCCTCCTGGATTGCAATCCTTTTGCTAAAATAAATGCTACAGCCTGAACCTTTCTTCTGGTTAACAAGCCCCACCCCCAGTGATTAAAATCACTGCAGTTTTCTACCTTAAAGACATTGAGTAGCATGAGGTCAATTGAGGAAATGGCTGTTTTACCTCTTCTGTGATGTAAAGCATTATCATGAAGAGAAATGCCTGAGTTGTTGATAAATAATTATTAAGCCATACTTTATGTAAGTTTTCAAAATAGAGGGTAGGCCCTTCTGGGTGGCTCAGCTGGTTAGAGCATTGTCCTGTGCACCAAAAAGTTGTGGAGTCAATCCCTGGTCAGAGTACATACCTATGTTGTGGGTTCAGTCCCTGGTCTGGGCACATAAGGAGGCAACCAATCAATGTTCTTTCATCTCTCTCTCTCCCCTCCTTCCCTGCCCTTCCTCTCTCTCTAAATCAATAAAACATATCCTCAGGTAAGAATTAATAAAATAGAGGGTAAATCTTTACCAATACAAAATATATAAAAGACCAAAAGAAAACCACTGCTAAAGCACTAATTATGAGTTCTGACAGAACACAAGTTCAAATCTAGTTTCCACAACAACCTTGGGGCCTTTGTTGAGTCACATACATTTGGGCATCATTTTCCTCAAATGTAAAGTGAGAATGATAAAACATACATGATTTTCTTATTGTTTATAACAAGGTTAAACAAGATAATTTAAGCTGAGTGTACCCCTTCTTTTTGCTTGAACACTACACTGCAAAACCACTGAGGGTCTCTCATCACTGATGGCACCTTTTGACTTGGGATGGACTGAAGGTCAGTGCTAAGGTCAGTCTATACAAACATTGTTTGTACTCATTGTTTGTTGGTTCTAGGTCATGTAGAGTTATTGTGTTTTTATAAATCAAAATTGACTTTTTGTTTTTCTTCAATCTTTAATGGTTCTGTTTCTGTGTGTTTTTAAAGCAGATCACTTTCTACATTGGTAACCTGAAAGTTATCATAAGTTGGAATGCATCCATGTCAAAGTAAGCCTTTACTTAAATTTTATACCCTCCAAAGGCCCATATTCTCTGGGAAAAAATTCTGCTTTCATTGTAAGAAATAGTGAAAATAATATTCTTAGAATTTAAATGGCAGTTGAAATGATTAACTACACATTTAGAGTTGCCAAGAAAAAAATGAAATCATGTTATTGGACTAGGAAAAAACCCTCCCATTAACATTACTTGAGTTTTCACAAATGAGTTGATTACAGGAAAAGGAATGAGGCACACAGTTCATTAAATGCCAGGCCCCTAGTCTCCTCACAGACCTAATGTACTCTTATCACAGCACCTTGAAAAAAAATCAATGACTACATTTCCTAGTAAGAACATACTTTCCAGTTAATGAATGATTCACTGAAATCATTGCTTTTTATTTTATTTATTTACTTGTTTTATCTTTAAAAGAGTTTATATTAACTTTCTCTGAAAATTATGGAAGATAAAGTGTTCTGGGTTTATATATCAAAGAAGCAGCACAGATAATGTACGATCATGGTCAAAGTTTGTCTTGATTAGTTTAATTTCTTATATCTACTGCTGTAAAGTGAAGACCTGTGCTGAGACTAACCAAGAGACATTACATGGTAGCAGGGGTCCAGATATGAACTGGGATGTCTTCATGGTAGGATCCAGCTAGGTGCAGGGGACTTCAGGACCAGGGGAGTTGGAAAGAGGCCATTATGCATGCTAGATGCAATAAGAAATCTTCAAAGAGGGTTGGAGGTGGGCATTCAGATTAGACCCCTACGTCTGACTCAAATTTGTCCTCTAGTGGTTGCCAGAGACTCATAAAGGAGTGATCAGCAGTAGCTGGAGTGGCATGGGCAGGGAGGAGAGAGGAGGATGATCACACAAAATTTGCAAAACAAAACCAATCCAACCAAAAACAATCTGACTATACCTGCTGTTTCCACTGGAAACTCTGTAAGGATCTGGGGGCTTGGAACAATGTTTGACCAAAAGGGATGGGGAGTTCTTCCCTTCATCCACTGAGGACAAGAGGAAGAGGTCTCAGTCCCGGGAGAGGCCCAGCCTGGAGGCTGCAGCAGGGTGGTTGCTCCAGGCCCAGCCTGGAGGCTGCAGGCAACCTGCAGCTGCTGGCAGCAGAGGTCTGTGCCTTTGCCAAGTTTGCTGGTAGAGGAGGTCTTGGCAGAATCAAAAAGGATTTTTCATTAACTCACGTGGATCTCCCTCAGAGAGTACCAGATTGGTGTCCAAATTCTGTGGGAAACTGGAGTACCCATGGTATTATAATTACCATGATCCTCTTTTAACTCAGAGTGGTATAATCTTGATTGATACTTGCTTTTCTGTACTCAGAGGAAAGGTATTACAGTGGGAATTGCACCAGCTATGGAGTCAACACATTTGGGGAGACCCACACTGCCCCACTTGCCACTGCCTTAGTGCTTGATAAGGCATTTAATTCCCACAACATACCTGTTACTGTCACAGTCTTACATATGAGAAAGCAGAAGCACAGAGAGGTTAAGTAATCTGCCCAGTTCACACAGCTTCGATGTGATCAGTCTAGGACTTAAAGCCAAAAGCTGAGCTCCAGAGCCCCTCCCCAGCAAGTGACATTCATCAAGCCTGGCCCAGAGGAGGTGCTCACTAAACGATTCAAATCATTTCACTAAGGGATTAAAAAGGCACCCAGTTTATCACTTTGAACTTAATAGACTGACTACACTTAAAAGCAAAGAGAAAAATGCTTACGAGTATGCCAAAATCTGGACCAACAATGAAGGGCAATTAAATAAATCAGGAAATCCACCAGCCTCTTCTCTAGGTTCACTTACCTTTGTTTGGAGGATGATAGGTAGGGGCAGGAAAATCAACATAGTGAAAACTATGAGGATTAACCGGCGATAAACCAAAATCTCACTGAAGAGTTTCATTGTCCTGCGCGGGTGCCTTTGATAGTGCCCTCCTCAAAATGAGGCTGAAGTTAAATAACCAGCCTGGATTAATATTTCTCTAGCTCATCATCTTTGCTTTCTGCCCTAGACTGACCAACATGAGTTAAAATTAAATCTCAATCTTTATTGTTTTACTGTCCCAATTACTATGAATAGATAAGCCCAAGAATGTTTGCAGGAAATCAAAGACTAAAACTTTCTCCCCTATTTTTTGTGTTCACTTTAACTGGCCAAGTCGAGGAGAAGGCAAAATGGTAAGGTTGGTTGCATTTGCCCAAAATGAGGGCCCTCCACCCCTTCTGATGTTCCTGACTTCTGGGCTCCTAACAGGAGTAATTATCACACTTAGGTGATACCTTGACTGGGTTCCTCCTGTGCCCTATCTAAGGAAGCACATATGAACTGAAACAGCAATTCCAATACTAGGAATTTCAGTGAAGGGGGAAGTTTTCCGTACAGAAGATTTTTCTGGAACTTCTCAGATAAAGTTTGAGGCAAACTTCTACACTGCCACTGTGAAATTGGACCCACTGAAGAACTCCTGACCTCTCTCATTCAGGAAACCTTGGCTCAGGTTCAAAAAATAAATAACACTGCTTCCAAAATTGAGTAGCATTTTTCTCCCCAATTACCACACTCAATTGCACAATAATTTCTTCATGGTTTTTGTATTTCCTGGACACTGTTGCCTCTTTGGATAAGAAACCAAAAATTATTGTAAAGTCTTATATAAGCACTCCCCTGCAAGATTTTTCAGTATTGAGTTGAGATGCTGACTAGATAATCACAAGAGAAGCTGCACAGAGATGAGTCATAAGGTGTGTGTGTGTGAGTGTGTGTATGTGTGAAGATGGGGATTGTCCTGGCAGTGATACGGAGGAGGTATTTTGAAACTCCTCAGCACTAGGGACTCTGGTTTGTTTTTCATTACCCTGAAAATTAATCATCCCATAAACCTCAGATGAGTAACTACTCTGTACCCAGCCCTACGTATAAACAAAAGACATTCTTTTCTATAATTTGTAGTTCATTTATTTTGTCACAAATGACTTCACTTTTATCTAACTTATGGTTACTATTTAGACCTTATTTCTAATTCCACACTAATGTAACTCTGCTTTCTTTTTCCATCAAGGAAAAGAATTCTTTCACCAATACTCACTGTATTGTTAATGTAAAGGAAAAAGCATTTTTTTCCTCCAAAAGTACAACTTTCTCAAGATATATTCCACATAGTGATTTAGGAAAATCAGAATAGTAAACAGGAAAAGTCTCCAAACAAGAAAGGTATATTATATCTTCAATTTCTCAGAAGAAAGAGAGGGTAATTATGAATAAGAGTAATAAATGGCAAGTAACAATAGACAGTAATAATAAATAGTGTTTAAAATTACATTAAAGGTACTGAACTACTTAAAGCAGTTTCAATACTTAGTTTTTTTATATGAGAGTTCATTGCTTTTTAAAAAAATATATTTTATTGATTATGCTATTACAGTTCTCCCATTCCCCCCTTCATTCCCCTCCACCCTGCACGCCCCCTCCCACCCACATCCCCCCTTTTGTTTATGTCCGTGTGTCATCAGTTCTTTAGCTTCTACAATTCCCACATTACTCTTGCCCTCCCCCTGTCTATTTTCTCCCCACTGTCTATGCTACTTATTCTCTGTACCTTTTCCCCCTCTCTCCTCCTCCCACTCCTCTGTTGCTAACTCTCCACGTGATCTCCATTTCTGTGGTTCTGTTCCTGCTCTAGTTGTTTCCTTACTTTGTTGTTGTTTTGTTTTAGGTTTGGCTGTTAATTTTGAGTTTGCTGTCAGTTTACTGTACATGCTTTTTATCTTCTTTTTCTCAGGTAAGTTCTTTTAATGTTTCATATAATAAGGGCTTGGGGATGATGAACTCCTTGACCTTGACCTTTTCTGAGAAGCACTTTATCTGCCCTTCCATTCTAAATGAAAGCTTTGCTGGATAGAGCAATCTTGGATGGAGGTCCTTGCCTTTCATGACTTGGAATACTTCTTTCCAGCCCCTTCTTGCCTGTAAGGCCTCTTCTGAGAAATCAGCTCACAGTCTGATGGGAACTCCTTTGTAGGTGAGTCTCCTCTTATCTTTTGCTGCTTCTAGGATTCTCTCCTTTATTTTAATCTTGGCTAATGTAATTATGATGTGCCTTGCTGTGTTCCTCCTTGGTTTGAACTTCTTTGGGACTCTCTGAGCTTCCTGGACTTCCTGGAAGTCTATTTCCTTTGCCAGATTAGGGAAGTTCTCCTTTATTATTTGTTGAAATAAGTTTTGCCCTTGTTGCTGTTTCTCTTCCCCTTCTGGCACTCCTATAATTTGGATGTTGGAATGTTTAAAGTTGTCCTGGAGGTTCCTAATCCTCTCCTCATTTTTGAATTCTTGTTTCTTCATTCTTTTCTGTTTGGTCGTTTCTCTCTTCCTTCTGGTCCACTCCATTGATTTCAGCTCCAGTTTCCTTCCCATCATTATTGGTTTCCTGTGCATTTCCCTTCATTTCACTTAGTTTAGACTTCATTTGTTCATCTAATTTGAGACCAAAATCAACCAATTCTGTGAGCATCCTAATCACCAGTGCTTTGAACTGTGCATCTGAGAGTTTGGCTATCTCTTTGTCGCTTAGATGTATTGGCTCTGGGGCTTTGATCTGTTCTTCTGTTTGAGCCTCTTTTTTTTTGGTCTGGTCACACCTGTTAAGCATAAGGGGTGGAGCCTTAGGTGTTCACCAGGGCGGTGCAACCCAGTCACTGGGTTGTGACACTGTATGTGGGGGTGGGGTCAGAGAGGGAAAAATGGCACTTTCTCTGCTCTCTCTTGGATTTCAGTCCCTTCTGTTTCTTCCCGCAAGTAAATTGGGCCATCTGGTGCTGGTTCCCTGGGTGGGTGGGCTTGTATATGTTCTAGGACCCTATGGGTCTCTCCAACAGACTCTCCTGTGAAGCTGGGAGTCTCTCCCAGCAACTCAACCCCCACAAGTGTTTTCAATTAATGCTTTTATTTTCCAGCTCAGGGGCCTTGGGTTGCTCAGTCTGTCTTGCTGCCCATTTTTGCCTGGTTTATCTGCACATGAATGTCCGCCTTGCGCACCTCACTGGGTCTGCTCATTGCTACTCTGTGCCTGGAGTCTTCCGGCCACCCCCTGTGTGCCCGGGTCCATTAGTCACTGCTTTTTTTTTGCTGAAACCCCTTACTGCCAGCCGAGGACTCTACCCCTCTTACTGATCTGGATGAATGGTTGTTGGACTTCTGTGCGGTTCAATTTTCTGTCAGTTGTAGGTACTTTTGTTTCTAAATTTTTGTTGTTCTTAATTTTGGTTGTGTGAGGAGACACAGTATGTTGACCTATGCCTCTATCTTGGCTGGAAGTTCAGCTTTAGTTTTAAAGGACTATTTTTTTAAGATACCATTTCTGTTCTCAGATTTCCCTCAGTCACCTGCTGAGACCATGTGAGCCTCACTTTCTCATTGGAGAAGATTTTACTTCATGACATGACACCGGAAATAAAAAGGCATTAATGTGACATTTAATGGAAATGAGAAATTTAAAGTGCAGGGAACAACAGTATTTAAACCAGACACAGGCTAAAGGAAAAGCACTTGATATTTGTCACTGCCTCCTTCCTGTGCCCCACTTTCCCAATTCTGGTGCCCATTTCTCACCAGATGCAGGTTTGCAGGACCCTCCAGTGATGGCCTGTGGTTCTAGCCAGCCCGATCTTACAGAACGGTTCCCCTTCTACAGAATAATTTCAGCCTTTCTTTCTGTCCAGCAAATCTCCCATTCCTCAGTGGTTTTCTCTCCACTGTCACAGAGTGAAAAGATCTGAAAAATCACTCACAGTAAACACGAATGACTGATATGAGCTTCATACCTCTGCATGAGTCTCCAGGGAATGAAACCCTAAAAGAAGATTTTGGGTCTTTTGGAAACACATCCTTTAAAGGAGTGCATCCTTTAAATTACATCACAGAGAAATACCATACGATCTCCCCTATAAGTGGAACCTAATCAACAAAATAAACAAGCAAACAAAATACAACCGGAGTTTTGGGGAACACTCTGTGTAGTATTGGATGCTGTAGCCCTGCACAAACAAGGCCTTGAAAGAGGCCTGTAAGTCTCCACCAGAACATCGGGAATGAAGGAGGCAGGCATGACCTCTAACACCAAGGGTTAGAGGGTTCCCACTAACACCGAGGGTTCCCACTAACACCAACCATCTGGCCTGAAGAATACATTGTATCCTTTGAAGCTTGCTTTGCTTTGCTGTAGCCCTGTTGGTATAAACCAGATATTTACATTCAAAGCATAAGAAGTGAATTCCTTATCTCATGAAATACGCCTTAACAACCATCTGGCATCAGCATGTCTAACAGACCCCGACCTGAGGCAGATCTCTATGTTTTCTTCCATTGTCATTTATATATATTTTTGCTATAGCTATAGCCTTTGGACACTGATTAATGAGCTATGCATGCATGCTGTATACCCCTGCACATACTGATCCCAAGAAAAGCCATTTCAGAGAAGGGCTCGGGTCATTCTCCATTAGAGGGAATTGCCACCCCCTTTCCCACTGGAACAGATTGTGTCCAGGACAACTTATTTCATCCTTGACCAGAAGAGCTCCACAGGATGGGGCTCCCCTCACCAGAGACATTGAAATAAAGAACAAACTGACAGTAACCACAGAGGAGAAGGGAGTGGAAAAATAGGGGGTAGTGGGGGAGGCCATCAAGGAACATGTATGAAGGACACATGGACAAAGCCAAAGGGGATGGGTTCGAGTGTGGGAGGTGGGGATGGGTGGGTCGGATTGGCATGGTGGGGTGAAAATGGAGACAACTGTACTCGTACAACAATAAAAAAATAAATAAACCACATCAGATTGTTAACCAGTTCCACAATTAAATTTTATCTATTTTTTGTACAGAAAAATCATAAATATCTCAATATATCACAACTGTGCAATTTTATCT